AAGAACAGAAAAGGGCGGAGTGGGTGGGTTCTTTTGGGCACGGCCGATCGGCTCGTGCCAAAATGGCCACGGATAAATGGCCTCAGGGCAGTTCTTACGATCGCAAAACTGATCCCCCAATTCCAGACCTACCTAGCCGATAATTAGGAGACATATATATATATATATGTATGTATAGGCATTATAAACAACGAGCTGTGAACTCGAAGTCGGCCTGAAGACTAGGACCCCTATTCATCCCGGCTCTTGCCTTCCTCTATGCAGAAAGCCCCTCTCAGCCACGTTGGGTCCGAGGTGGCACAGAATGTATGAGCATTTTGGGCTAGACTAGAAGCGGCATATGCCACTAAGGTGTAGGACTAGTGCGTTGAATTTGTTGGGTTTTCCCTGAATCTTGCAGCTGATGTGCTTTCACGGTTGTTGTTTGTTCGCCTGGTGTCAAGATCAAACACCGAAAGCTTGCAATGGAGCGGCCGCAATGATTCGAATAGTACTCAAAGTTACTTTTCAGGGCCATATTACTAGCTCTTCCGACCGCTACGTATATCTTATCTCTTGCATCTCAGCCTGGCCTCTTGCAATTTGTCCGCGTAAGTCTGGTAGGACGTGGGCTCTTCAGCCATGTCTGCATCCTCTCAAGACAATGACTACAACGCCACGGCACACAGGCACCATTGTGTTCCCGATTCCTTACCACCCAGGGATAGCAAAGCTGGTTGGCCCAAGGACTGGTCTGGTCTTATGGACTATCGCTCTGAGCCTTTTGAACAACTCCCAAAGTCCGTCCGACAATCCACACAAAATCATTTGGTGGAGATTTTTGCGGATCCTTATATGCGAGGTCCTCAAACCAGAGAACCACTTTGTCCAGGAACGGGTTCAGCTCGCTTGGGTTCAGCAAGGAACCGTCCTTTCCGTTCCTGAGCTGGTTCTGTGATTTCATGCACACGAGTTCTCTTTTGAGTTGAAATGAGACATTGCAGGATCACTGGAAGTGCACACTGAAGCCTAAGGCCCTGCATGGCAACGAACAACATCGGGTGTCCATCTCTTCCGTCCCAAGTGCTGGATTTAGACACTTTTAGGTTCGCTAATGATGAAGGCTCAGCCGTGTGTCTGTTCCTGCAGTCAAGGTACATCCAATCTCGGACCTGGTACACGTAGGATTCCAATGTATTCCTCTTTTCGAGGCGTCGCCTTGGGCTGTTTGCATGGCGACAGTGCCGCGAAGCGTTCACATTCATGTGCTATTTTGGGACATTACCCACGCCACGCGTGCAATTAGCCAAGTTGGAACTCCACTGATCTGTGAAAACCAGTGATACAAAATTTAGGCCTTCAGAATAAGAACAGGGTTTTGGATTGCATGATACTTTTGTTGGCGGAGAAACCCTGAAGGATGTTGCTTGAAAAACTAATGCCACTTCCCCCGGGCCTCTAAGTCTGGAAGTTGAATCATCTTGAATCTTTCAGGCCGAGGAACACCTCCTCGCTGTTGATGGCCTCTATCTCAGCTTCGTGGGCACGCACCCGGGCGAGCTCGTCGGCATCTAAACCTCCTGGCAGGCCCGAAGCCACAAAGCCCAAAATCCCTAAGCCCTATAGTCCCCAAAACCCCCAAACCTCAAAGTCGTCCTAAACCCCAAAGACAACCTGTGACCCGATTGCATCCAGGCCTAAACCCCGTGACCCCCGAAACCACAACGCCAAAGCTGCCTACATCAATAGATATGATATATTTGAGATAATGACTATTGTAAATTAGATATATTATCTATAGATATGATCGAGCCTACGCCCATCGGTGCGTCCATGGCCGCCACTGGCCGCCTGCCAGCAGCCCAGGCCGCCGCTCCCGTAGCCACGCAGCCTCTCAGCAAAAAAGAGTAGGGTGTCCTTCGTCGCCTGTGAGGCCTAAAATATAGGGGGGGGGGTTTCTGTAAGGGCTCTCCTTAGAGGTTCTGTAAGAGTGGGTGTCAAAAATAGGGGGGGGTTCTGTAAGAGCTCTCCTTAGAGGTTCTAATAAGAGTTCGACAAGAGTTTCGGGGTTGAAGGTCTGAATGCTAGACGGGTTTTTTTGGTGGTTTGCATACTGGAAATAGATGCTATCGGATTTCTGTTTGAGGGTTTGAAGGGCTGACAGAGTTCCCAGCCACCCTCAACTCCGGATCCTGTCTTGAGGACCCCTACTCGGGCTTGACGAAGGCTCCGTTTCAGTTCGGGGTCATCTTAAGCTTCATGAAGGAGCGGGTATCATCGTATAGCACATGATCTTCCAGACGGTACTCGGTGGGATGTTTACAGGTGACCTAGCGCCTCACAGGAGTCCAACATACAAAAATACTGTGCACATATCAACGCTCCACTGCGCAGGCCCGAAACTGCCGCCGTGCTGCTGGCCCCATCAAGCCCGAAGCGCAACGGAACCGACTCACCCACGGCGTCTTTCACCTAATCTCGACGACACACTTTTTTCTGATTGCTCTTGTGTTATTCTACTAGCGTTCGGCTTGGGTGGAAGTTTTAGTTTTAGGCAGGCTCCCGAAGATCTTGCAAGGGACTAGTACACTTTCTGCGCTGAGCTCGTCTTATCCCCCCCCCGGAACACAGCGCGAATGCAAGGTGGCCAAACTGCGCAGCACCTCTCGACCTTTCACAACGACCTGTCTTCAACCAGGGACACCCCGCGGATGTGATTCAGGGATGTTTAGGGATGTCTAGGGCTTTGTAGGGAGGATTCCTTGCGGCTGGCTTCAAAGTTGCCGAAGAGAGTAGATCCTACCTGATCCTAAATCCCAAACCCCCCCCAGAGGCCTCAGGGGTTCATCTGCCTAGCTGCCAGCTTCTGCACTGCTGGGATGCGACCGCCACCGCCGACGAGCTCAACGGCCTCATAAAGCAAGTTCTGCAGTTTTGGGTACGAACGTCTTCAAGCTTCTGTCCCTGCATCACGACCCGATAAGCCTATGTGCCGGCGATAACGAAACACACCTTCGATTTGCTGACTGTAAACTCTAAACCCTAACCCGATCACAGCCTCAAGCGAGCTTGTGGCTGCTGCTGCGGCCAAAACCTGCTGAAAGGGTCATATACAACAACAGACGGCCAACGGGATAGATATCGCTTGTAGCTGCTGCTAGTAGACGCCTGGCTAGAAGGATGAATTTCTGAATTAATTGGAAACCAATGCCTGGCATTAAAAGCATCGACGGCCTGTGGGCACAGCTGACCTCACGAAACCGGTCGACACACCAGTGCACCCAAGCAGGTGCTGATTTCACCACCACAAAGCAGAAGAGGGAGGCAAAGAAAAAAGAGAGACGGGTTGTGATCATGATCTTGATTCTGACTGTTACTCTACTATTATTTTCATGGTTCTCATGATGGCAATCTTGGCGACTGCGGTTTCAACTATGATTCTCATGCTTCATAACAACACGGCGTCTAAGTTTGCACGGTTCTCAATACGAATTTCTCAGGTCGCTCGAAGTCTTCATGCCATTCCTCGCGCTTCGGGGATGGAGTGACCAGCTCTACCAGGTTGACAACCCGAACTTGCAGCAGACATGGTGCACCTCCCCAGATCCTTTGCTACACATCCCCACACAGCCCCTTTTTTGAACCCAGACTCTGCCAATCAGCTGGGAAGCAGCACTCCCACACAGCCCCTAAAAACTCTAGACCAACAAAGCAAAGGACCTGCAAGTAGGCCCATGGCTCCCTCAGTTTCCCGAACCCCAGATCCCCCCACAAGTAATATGAATAAGAAACAGATGAAAAATAAAAAATAGAATAGTATCAATAATACAAACATGATAATCGATAATAGAACGAATTGATAGTTGCAGTATACTAATTTCTCAGTAATTGAACAGGACCGGACGGGACCGAGGACATGGAGTCTGCATGCTGAACAGTGGCTTAGAAAGTCCGACGGGTATACCAGCACATACTGTTAGGAGCAATTGAGAGGGCCCTATATAAACCCTAAACTTTTTATAAACCTATGTAGGAAGGACCCTCAACCCTAAACACCCTGAAAACCCTAAACCATAAATGTAAACCTATGTAGGAGGGACCCGCTGTCTGAGACCTCCTTCAGCCGAGTGAGAACCGACGCCGCTGCAGCCTGCACGGCTTCCATCAGCGTTCTGCGAGTTGAGTTCTGAAAATGGGGGGTGGGAGGGACCGAAGGGTAAATGGGCTTAGGGTTTAGGGCTTGGGGTTTTGGGAAGGGTGCACCCTTGTCTGGTGGATTGAAACTTTAGAACTGTATTGACGCCTCCAGGGGTTCTCAAGTTCAAGAAAAGCAGAATTGCCTTTTTGAGGCTTTCTCGCTTTGAGCTTCGAGTTCGGGTGGGTCGTTGCTTCAAACATCGACGCCCAAGAAGGGGTCGAGTGAACCCCGAAGCTCGGCCCGAAACCCTAAGAACTCTGCATCCTTTTAATGTGCATAGGCCCCTAAGTAGTTCCTTTTTGGGATTAATTACCTTATAGGATTCTAAATATAAAACCATAAAAAGGAACTACTTAGGGGCCGATGGGTAAAGATCCTTCTCCCTCTCTCCACACTCCCATGTCTCACATGCCGGACGTACCTCAAAGGCAGCTCGTGTCAGAGGAACCGACACGTCGATTTCGGGTCCCTCCGGGCCCTCCGGCATGAACGCTTCAAGTCCTGAAATCTGAAACAAGGATCGCTTGTCGGGGTGGGTGGGGTTTAGGTTTTTTCTTGCAGGTTTCTAGTGCTTGATCTGAGTGATATGTGGGCTTCTGAGCTTAGCAGAGCATGTGGGGATAGCTTCCACTTCGGGGTCCTCATACTGAGGACTTCTATTGCTTTCCCTCTTTCCTGACAGTATCAGAGAGCTGGGGGTTCCTCATGCCTGCAACACGTGACTTGGGGAGTGGTCTTCTTGCCACATAAAGCGTATGTTAGACTATGTTTTCTGGCGGCAGAGGTACTTATATTAGATGCGCATGTCCTCAGGCATACACGGCGTCTGCGAGTGCTTGTCCGCTGTCGGCTATGGGTACATCTACATACAGTACATTAATTAGCAGACATGTCAGCACACATAAGCAACCGTATGGTTACATGCATAAATTTCGGCAAAAAATGCATGGACAACAGGTGCGTATACAAGCACAACCAAGATGCTAAAATATCCATAGAGACGGCTATCGAGGCTCGATGCGGCAAAGCAACGCCACACAAAGCTCCAACCCTTTGCAGCTTCTGCTTTGCAGTCAGGAGGTTGGTAGTGCATAATACTTTCTCTTCCATGAAAAATTCGCGCATGCTCTGCAAATCTGGCATCATACCTTTGGGCTTTGCATCTCCAATGCAAGTCAAGCTGCCCATTTCTGCATCCGGGAGCATGCTAAGTTGCTTGAGGGCATGGATGGCCTCGCAAGAAGCAGAACTCCACACCGCTTTGTGGGTCCCCTGCCTTTGTTCTCAAACTCCGATACTGCTCTGCTATGAAACTGTATCCCAGTACTGAGTACTGCATCGCCAGAGTGTTGAACCAGCGTTCTCGCAGACACAGGATTTTGGCAAGCTCGTGGCTTTTGCAGCTGTTGCAGTCGGCACGGTCTTAAGAACCTCTTGAATCTTGAACTCCGACAACTTCGCCGACCACTCAACCGGCACCTGACGCTTCTTGCCCTGTTACGTTTCAAGCACAAGGGGGGCCCATTGCAGAAGCATCAATTCACATTCGCTCGGCGTACACGGTCATGCATGTCCTGAAGCCTACAAACCGAACGAAGACACACACACACACAGACAGACACAGACACAACACACAGACACACACACACACACCCCAAAAAAAAGAGGCGCAGTGAATCCTGCAAGGAACAAGCAAAGGCAAAGACGGCCTCGTTGGCGAGGCGAACGCCCGCCTTCGTGCCAAGCTTGACCTGGATCGGGGATGCGCATCGCCTAAACCGAACAGGCGACATGACAATCACAGGAATAGTACTAGCCGGCAGCTTGGAGCACCAGCTATGGAACTACGTATACTCGTACGGCAAAGCCACACCGGGTCGCCCAACCCACTCCTGTGTCTAACCCTGCGGTCGAAACCCTAAACCCTGAAACCCTGAAACCCTAAACCCTGTGGTCCAACCTTGCAGTTGTGCTTCTTCTCTATTCTCGAGATGGCCTCCTGGAGTAGAGCCGACATCAAACCTTCGTCTGCGTCGACTTGGGGCTTCGGTGTGCTATGGGGGGTCTAGCCGGGCTAGCCCTGCTGGTTTGTGCGCATACATGGATATCGTTAGCTTCGTCGTGGCTACTCGGACATCGCAGGACCTACAATTCCGTCATCTTACGCCCAATAGCCTCCTGAGTACCCACGCAAACTCCATCAGTCCAACTGCGCGGTGATTTCGGCCCCCTGTATACACTCACAGTGCTTGGCCAACCTTGCGCCTTGCGCATCTTCTCCATCCCCACAGAGAGCGACCACAGAAACCTAAACCCGAAACCCTGAACCCTAAAGCATCGGATACGTAGGATTTTGGCCGAGGTACTCTGCACACCCAGCTCCTCCTCGCTGCAGCGATACCTCGGGGCTGACTGATTTGATGCTTAGCAGTGCACGGTGCGATGGCGTAACCAGAAGAAATGATGATGCCGGGAAATCGTGTATGCGACTGGCCCACATGCAACTCATGCGCTCATCACGCGTCAGGGTTTTCCGGCCTTGCAATGTGTTTGATTCTTCCAAAAATAAATGATGACGATTTTGGATATGTTTCTTTGGGCGGCAATGCCTCCGGTCTTGAAGTAGCTATCTCCTCGAGTGCACAGAGAACCGGCGAAAGAGCGTGCCTCGTGCGCTGCTGCTTAAGCGTTTCTCTACTCCAGCCCGCGGAACACGGCATCACGACTCGCTTCAGCACGCCCGTGCAACTTGACCCAGGTCGATCTGTCGTGCGTGTGTCGCAGGGATTGATTGGCGGCCGTTGACGCCCGTGTGCGGCACAGGTCAATCTAATTCGCCTATGTTTCCTGCCTGGCCCCTGGCCTTAGATGACCAACTACCCGCAAAAGACGAAGATAGAAGCCTGAACCACCAAGATACTATTCCCTAGAAACTTCTCCAATCATGAAGCCACATGATCTGCAATTTGACCCGAAAGCCTCCCCCAAAAATCCAAAAGCAAACACTTGCTTCCCGTAGTTTCCACTTTGTCTTGTGGGAGTTAGGATTAGGGGGACCCTGGGGGGATATAGACCCTCTCAAAAAGGTCCCCTTCAAGAGAGCTACAAATAGGGTTCAGAAGGGTCCCCTTTAAGGGGCCTCCCTAATACTACCTAGGATCTTGCTGAGCTTCAAGAACTCGCAGGAGACGCCAGCTGCGAGGGGTGACGAAGCCTCTTCGGGCGCGGCCTCTTTCCGTGCAAAACGGACCTGAGTGCAGGGCTTCGGCTGTTTTTTTAAGAGCCTCTTAACAAATATTTATCATTATTATTATTACAATTATTGTTATTATTAAGGCCCCTACATGTTCCCAAGTGCCCCCTTGTTGGAGCAGGTTAACGTCTGACCTTCCCATTATTTCAGAGCTTTGGGCTTTGCAGGGGAGGGAAGGCACGTTTCTGACGGCTTCCATGTCCGGTTTCGTGTTTTGGGCCAATAAACTTTAGGCTGGGCTTGGCGCAGGTGTGGTCTTGGGGGAGCTGAAACGATTGCACGCAGTCAGAGGGCTCAAGGCTGGCTTGGGGAAGGGTTGCTCTAAAGGGCTTATATCGGGTTTAGGGGTTGATTTCCGCATGGGGTTGGGAGGGTGGCCGACAATACCATTCCGTCAGATGGACGGTAATAAAAACACCCGGCGATCGTTCCAGCAACTTTCCGAAAAGCTTTCGCACAGGGACATGTGCGAAACATCGCAGACTGCCCCCGCGCCCTTTGCAACCTGGACCCCGCCAGCCGCGGGCAGCCAGGGCACCACAGACACAGTGCCGTGGGAAGAGCCGATGTCCACGAATCCGACCACGCGCTCCTCGGGTGATCTCAAACACTGCACACACACACACACAGACAGAGAGACTTGCCGTGCGAATGCCAGGAGACTGCGGCAGGAGAGACCCCTGACATAGTACAGTACTTTGACTGCCCTCTCGAATTATGCTTCGCGGGGTTGGCGAGATATCAGGAAAGCTGCTTTCCAGCCATGTGGTCCACATGTGCATTGTCACGTATACAGCTTCTGTCCGAAGATTCACAGTGCTCCCGATTTCCCTTGGGTCCTCGGTACCCTCCGGCAGCAACGAGGATCCTTTCCAAGCTGCGGAGACAGAAGGAAGGAAACGATCGTCCCATAAACAGGCCTTCAATCTTAGAGTAGGGTGTTGGAGTAGGCTGCAAAATTCGTACATCAAGGACTAGAAGGGGCCAGGTACCCATGAGTCCGCCCCCGTAGTACGACCGAGACTTCATTTCCATCTTGACATCCAAGCCTTCTGGCTTGCTCCGGCTCAGGTTGGTCTGTTTCTGCTTTCGGCACGCATCAAGCATCGCTCCATCCATCCGTTGCAATCCATTACAATAAGCAGGTTAAATTATAAATTCTAATATGTGTAGTGAAATTCTATAGAAGCAGATTACATTGCATACACAAAGACTTCCACCCGAGCTCCAATCCGGCCTTGACTATGGGCAAAGGCCGCGGCCACAGCATCGGAGTGGCGAAGCAGATGCGCCGAAGCTACCAGGTCTGCAAGGTTCACCTTGAAGGGGCTCAGGGTTTCGGCACTCTCAATTCGGACAACCCAGGCCAGGCGAATGGTTACACGGTCTGCAAGTTGAAAAGCACAGGGATGATTTTGGGGTTTAGAAACTGGGGGTGGTAGCGCTTTCCACCGCAAGGACCAACGAGTGAATTGTGCTCACTTTGCCTCGGAGATTAGAAGACAACATGACGTGACGTTCTCATTCAGCTTGACATTGGCTTCTGAAAACTCCATGGGTCAAGGAGGCGATGCTGTCGGAACTTTGCAATTTAGCTGCCGGGCATTCGGAAAAGACGTGTGCGATCTGTTCACGGCTACTTGCGTGTGGATTGAGCGCACGACTATGCCCTTCTGCCTGCAGGCTGAATACTACGGGGGAGGCAGGCAAGGCCGTCACAAACTTGGAACCAACATATGACACACCTGCATGTCTTCCAGACAGTTCCAGACTGCTGCTGGCACTACGGTTACTACGGAGCCAAGGCACAGCATCCTGGACCACTGCTAGCTCTTGCTCCGAGAGGAAATCTGGGACGGCAATGCAAAGCCTCAGCTCAGATCTGCCCCCGGCCGCTGGTGAGCCTCTGGGGAATGACTTCTGAGTTTCCGAGGGTTTGTTTTGGATCTCAGGTGCCGCCCAAAACTTCACAGGGCATCGTTACATGCTGAGTGGGCCCAGGTGCTGCTGCAAACTGGCTCCAGGGGCGACAGCATAACCTCAGCAGGACGCGAACAACAGAATACGAATCGAAACATCTTAGGACGACTGTCCATTGCACTAGAGCCATCCGAATAATCAACAAATTCTGCAGCACATGCATGATTCGGATGATTTGCATTCGTCGCCTCCACACTCCATGTCGCTTTACAGCCCTTCCCTCCACTCCCCCACAAGGGCGCCAAAGATCGTGGCCTTGTTGCATCCAGGCCTATGATCATGCAGACCCTGGCCATGAGACCGAGAGTCCGCAGTAAAAATAACCAATACCAAACAAAAATGTGTTGCGCATGGGCGTGTCCGGAAGCAATCCGAAAGGAGCGAGAGTCCAGTCTTTTTTTAGTGCAACTTCTTGTTGCCAAACCCTCGAGAGCATCGTGAGTCTTCTGGAACTGAAGGCTGGAAAGCTCGCCGAGTAGCTGTTGAGAGTGCGAAGAAGCACCTTAGTTAAGTCATGTGGGAGCAAACTCCAGTTCACAAGTGTCGCAGTGCCCTTAGCCACACCAGCTTGTTATCAAAACGATATGGATTGATGAACTGCACGATTGTGAAGGCTGGGATCATCTGCCAAGTTGAAACCACAACCAGCCCAAACCGAGGCACAGCAGGAAGACATGGGAGGGGGAGTGGCCTCTTAGATCCTGAAACATACATGTACGGTTTCGCAGGGGATTGGGACACGAATAACTCAGAACAGCATCAGGCGAGAACGGACGACGATGAGCTAGAACGCCCTCTGGAAGACGAACCCTGTGCCAAAAGCCCAACAAAACCTTAAGCTCGAGAAGGCACACTCAGGGGTCCGCAAGTAGAAACCGGGAAGTCCTTGTCATCAAAGGCAACCGGGCCCAACTTGCCGTCCTTGCAGGCAGAAGGTGTGCACAGCTCAGGGTCTTCTCACGGGTTCCGTGTTCAAGTCCCGGATTTTGATACTTTGAGGCTTTTTCCCCTCCCACTTAGCAAGGACAAGCCCGCATTGCAGGGTTAGGGTTCAGGGTTTCCTGCACTTACGGTGCAGAGGCCTGGGGGTTGAATTCACATGGTGTCCTCCTGGATCGGGAAGAGCCATTGATACTTTTCTGCTCGCTTCCGCGTAGCATCCGAGGCCGCCTCAGCGTCAGAAACCGGATGAGGTGGTTTAAGGCGCCCCTCAAGCACTCTATATAAATCTATGTGTGTGTATATATAT